TAATTTCCTCGGAAATTTAACAAGGCATGTGAGTTAACGGTTGGTCCATGTTTGCATCTGGGTGCTGTAAGTTTTTGGTGTCCTTTGCACCATTGTCGGCGATGAGTGGGTCCTGTGCACCGATCTGGGAGGCTTTCCGGCGGCCTGCATATGGGGGGTGTGGAATCGTTCCCCGCCGGTTCCATTGAATTAGCGACACCTCTAAGCTAAATTTGCCCTACAAACCAGAAATATCAGCGAATCGGAAATGTAATGAGGAAGACATGTCAGTAGAAACGCAAATCACTGACCGGGCTGCCAGGAAAGTCATCACTAAATTAAGACGTGGGCAAGATCTTATTTCGTAGCCGTACCTGTTATGGGTTAGGGTCAGGCGTTAGGGGTTAGGGGTTGGAGTGTAGCGGCTAAGCGGTAATGGTGTACGCTCAGTACGCCACAACTTCAGGCCATATCCCAAGTTGTTAGAAGCAGGACGTCATTTGGGTAGGACGCTTTATTCTGTACAGAATAGTGATGGGGAAATTTGGCAACCGGACGAGGATGCGTCCGGCGCCGCGGAGGTGGCGTCCGCGGGAGCGACGAGCCCTGTGTTTGCGAAGGTCGCCGCTGCAAAAGTGTCGTTGCAGATTGTTTACTCTATTGTTCTGGACTGTTCCCGCCTGTCTTGCCAATCAGCGATAGGAGTTGCGTTGATTGTCTCCGAGCCCACGCGAAGGTGGTGACAAGCCTCGCGTGGTGCAGGCAGAGAATCGACCGAATGCGTGGGGCAGCCAGTGAGTTGCAACGAGACAAATAGTAGCCGGGCAGGCGTGCATGCCATAGCAGGCTGTCGCTAGGACGTAGGTGCAGGCGCTAGCGAGAGGCGCGACGTAGCCATTATCGCTGTCCACTACAGGAGTTAGGGGTTAGGATTATGGGTTAGGGGTTAGTGTTAGGGTTGGGGTTAGGGGTTATGAGTTGGGATTAGGGGTTAGGGTTAAACCCCCTATTACCACTGGTCCCGTATGACAGGCGGCTGGGGCTTGTCTGCTTAAGGTACGGCTACGAAATAAGATCCGACCGTTTTGCAAAAGAATTCGGTGAAGACAGCCCTTTGCAAGAACTACATCTTTGCGCGAATTTGATTCGATATCACAGCGTAGAGAGAACACGTGAAAGCGCGCTCGTAAGTGTGTCTTTTTATATTTAACCAGTCCATACATGTTTGAAGAATTTAGGCCTCCTATGGCGTAAGTGGCTACAATTAAAATGATTGCAGTTAGGTTAGTGGCCACTTTTGCTGTTTACTTCTTAATTTTTGCGCCACCAAGTTGGCGTGAAGCACAAATACTAGCCTTTACGCCTTTCGGCGGCTGCCTAGTAGAAGTAATCCGTTAGTTCAATGGCCAGATTAACCGGAATGTTCTATGTCCTGTTAGACGACAACTGTCTCCTCCACCAGCGGGCATTCATTATGGATCAAAATGCAGGCTCCTCCCCCCGTCTTCTGCAAGGCCCGGTAATGTCGACGCTGTTGTCAACTTCCCAGGCCAGTTGTGATTATTTCTTGAATTTTCTGGATGGAGTGTGGGAGGACACAAAGCACGGATGGAGGTCGACAGTTGCTGAAATGGCTTCATGTGTACTCCTAGTTAAAACCCAAATCTCCCTTCTTCGTCAGAGTTTACGTCAATTTATTGGTTGTATAAAATTAGATAACTTCTGACCCTAGATAAGGCTGCTTAAATTCCACTACCAGGAAAAATTACGCAACCATGCTCTGGTAATCTCTTCCTCAGTGAAAAAAAATGAACGAAGGCAACCAGTATTCTCCTATGTGTTCCTGATTAACGGGGTGGCTGTGCATCAATAATTTAGCCGTTACCCAGGGCAGAATTTGTGTTAGCACAATAACGGACTATTACGTGCTCTGCTAGGGGATGTAATTAAATGGGCCACGGCATCAGTTCGCACTAGATTCTTTGTTGCCAAATGTGGGTTCTCGTTGAGGGAATGAGGCAATTAAAAAGGCGATCAGAATGTTAGGGGTAAGCATCAAAAGACGTGCGCGCATTTGAAAGCCAACGATTACCCAAGAGGGAGGACCTTTACGGTTGTGTCCAATGCAGATGACATTGATTTTTTTGGAATTCCGTGAATCAGATGAAGTCAACATCTGCACGGGCTTCGCTCCCTTTATTGGGCTGTGATCTCGCACGCTTTTTCCTTCTAATTAAAATGAAACAAGTTTGTCTTGGGAACAAGCATTTCTCAATTACTTCCGGAGCACAGATATGCGGCGCGGTAACAAATAAGAAAATCGTTTGTAAGGACAGACTTAATGCAAGTAACTTACGATTTTATCATTAGGGAATGCTGCATAGTCGCCATTTTAATGTGTGGAATGCATAATCAGATAGATCTTATTGCTGATTTCCTTCCATACAGTCTTTCCATGTAGCAGTTAATGTTACCGCCCTATCCGCAGGAACAGAAGCGCAATTTGTGCCTGCAAGAAAACTCCTTGAGAGGATTATGGGTACTGAAAATCGGTTGCTAACGACTCAAAGACCTCTATGAAAGAAAGACATTTTGACTGTGTAGGCCTCACATTCCCCATGCTTCATGTTGATTTAATGTGTTCTCATTTGCAGAAAAATTGCTGACCCTCATGAGCGTCTGGAGCATTTGTGCTTCAACTGTCATTGGAGTTACGAAAATGTCATAGAAGGCTTCAGAAGACTAGTTGGCCTCCATCGATATGATAACGGGTTGAGTGAACAACGCGTGGGGACAAGGAAAATTCAGGAATGTTCGTCTTTTTACAAAAGTGTGATGTGGGAAATAGGGGGAGGAGGGGGAGAATAATGAGAGACACTAAGCATAAATCTAATTAGGTGATGATAGTTAGTGTGCACAGGAAGGCGATTAGGAAAAGCCGTGTTAGGGATGGGTAGGAAGGCATGGAATTTTGTATTTATTCTGCGCACTGATGGTTTGACTTGCAGATCCACCGGAAATGGGGTTTAGTTTGACTTCGAGTCAGTGGTAAAGAAAGTATCAATTATTTGATCAGCCGCCTGACTGGACTCTAGAGCACAATTGGCACTGCACTGAACGACTAATCTGGAGATCGACTGCTCGACTCCGCTTGGCCACACACACCTTTTTACTGAGTCAGTTTCGCAGTCCGCACAGCCTGTCTGAACTAGGGATTGCCCCAGCTATAAGTTATGGACTTTCTCGTCGATATCCTCAATCTAAAAAGGCAAGTTATGGGATGCGACAAGAAACTATGCATAATTAAATGTATTTGACACTATATGTGAAGTAATGGAAGGGAAGACGGCGAGACATTGCTTTCCCTATTCTCAATAAAGCATGTGTGCCTCATTTTTAAGAAGTCTCTCTGTTTACTAGATGAAACTCAGACGAAAAAGTCGACTTCACCATCTCGACTAAACTGGACAGACTCTGCATTTGATTCAGAATAAAAGAATGTATGTAAGCATTACTAACTGGGCATCCAAGTTTGAATTTAGAGACGCCTTATCCGTACAAGGTATTTCGCAGCCGCATTGGTAATTCAACAGGCCAAAGTAAGAGACAGGTCTACAAATTCAGGGCACATAATTAGGTTCATAAAACCGAGATTAAATGCCGCGGGCTCAGTCACACTGCTACTATAATCAAACCACGAAGTCCGACCATCGTAAATCGGGGATAGTGCCTATTTCCAACTGACTCGCTTCTTAACCTGGGACAAATAAGGCATTTTGGTAGGGCATTCTCATCAAAACACCGATGCCGGAGTTCCACTAGAGCGTAAATGGACGGTTCTCACTTCTCAAAGCTCTCCCATCTGCGTGGACAACGCAGGGCTGCAAGCCCACCGCATAAAGCAAAATGCGCGAAGATTCGGGGTCCAGATATTTTATCGCGTTCAACGTCCCCCTGCAGAAGATGTGCGTTGGCGTTTCAGTAACTTTCCCATTTCCATCAGAGTAGTGCGAAGGGTCGCTGTTGCCGATTTTGATTTATTCAGCCTTGTCGTCGGCCTCGTATTACAACTCACGATCTTTGACCCGCCCGTTTGCTGCTGACCCACCTTGACGTATCCATGGTTGTCCGCTGGCGGGCTTGCGTGGCCTTTGCCCCTTTTGCGGGCGCCGTAGTTTCAGTCGAGCCAGCGCACCTGTTGGCCTCCTCTCGTGTGTGTTTCTTTCGGCCCCGTGGGCGCATCGGTTAGAGGCTGTTCAAAGTGACCTTCGACCGAACCATCTCCTCTTTTGCTCGGACGTCGACTATCAGCCTCGCCTACCCTATTGGCCCTGTCTGAGATGATTCGAACCTTGTGAACAGCGCCAGGTAGGTGGGATGCAGGTCGACAGCAACACTCGATGTGGTCAAATCAGTTCGGACAGGGCTGACGTCGGTTAATAAGCCGGAAATGGTCATCTCCGACTTCTACCTAGTCACTTGTCGCCATACAACTGCCTAACAGGGCTATAGAATGAGCTTTAAGGCGTAACCGGTTGAGTATTTCTCGCGACCGGGCCGGGGAAGGCACATCCACCGCAGCTTATATCCCCAGTCGCAATCGACAGGATAAAGGGCCCCTGGCTCAATGGCGGGGTGTTGGACTCAATAACGATCGGTGACCAAAGAAGGTGGATTCGAATCTCAGACCTCGCAAACCGGAGTTTGGTTAATCCTGGCTGACGACGGCTAGGATGTCAAAAATGGTCGTACCATTCTCTCCATCTTTGTCAGTATCCCTCATTTCCACACTAAATATGGCTGCTACTCTGATGTAAACGAATAGTCTCTAACAGCAAGGCGAAATTCGAACTAAGAATACGTCCGCTAACGAGGAACGCAGGTCAGATAGTTTTCTAAATGCAGATCGCCAATGAAATGAAATCAGGTCTGCAAATAGTGTTTACTTTTTACTGGAGGATTTTGTCAATGGGTTATTAACCTATATAGTTTTGACATTTCTGGATTCATATCAAGGTCCGATGTCGAGGTTCCAACGGTGGTCAGAGCCTATCTCAGCCGCTGGATTGCATCGTTGGTGTCCCCTCCAAAATTACGACGGACCGCTAATCCCAATCCGAATCGCACCTCTTCCAGTCTCTCGTCTGCCCTTTAGACTGCACACGGATCCGGACGACAGTATACCACCCAGCCACCTGCAGCCGCCTGATCGACCGGTTCGGACAAACGCGGCTCCACACAGTCGCAGCTGCCTTCGACAAATGCAGTATAACAGTTCGACCGTCGATGTCGACTATGTCCACCATGCGCTCCAGAGCAAGGTGAAGCAGACACCGTGACTTGCACGTGACTGCCGTGCCATAAATACTGCACTCCTGGTGCCACCATCACCTTTATCTGCGAATGTCTCTGATGATGGATTCGAGTGAGAATCCGAAACGTCGGGCAAATAAATTTCTTGTTCCAGTGATCGCATCTTCATCTTCTGAACGACCTACCACTGTCAGAACATGGCCTGACCTCACCAGTGGCTATTGCCGCCATCGTTCTGGTGCCTTTGGTTTTCCCTTGGGCCCAGCGACTTGGCCTAGTGATTGTGGCGTTCGAAAGCCCAACCACCATCTTCGGCAGCAACCAATTGGTTATCCCGATGTGATACGAACATGCTACGGCCAGAAGTAGCTTTATACAATCATCAAGAAATTCCTACTCGTCTTCACCTTCCTGTTTTCCCTGTGCTACTCATCGAGGCCACCAATAGGAAAACGGGGTTGTCGATGCCCTTTCATGAATCGACATGGGTTTTATCGACAAAACTCAGCAGTACAAATCCAGATCATACGCCGATCAATGTTTTTCGAGCAACCGTCTCAATGTGATGCTGTCAGAACAGATCTCATCCCTGTCCCAGACCTTCCTCCGTCCATTTCCAAAGAATCCACTGTTCGTGTGTTATTCTCATGCACTCAGCATGCTACTGGACAAACGACTATGAAGCTTCACTTCAATCCAATTTTTCGCGCATGGATGACAGTGAACCTATTTCACTAATGCATTCGTCTGACTCAGCACTCACTGGATGCATTGTGTCCGATATGTCCTTTTCTCTCATACCAACTTGTCAACTCATCGGCACGCTAACAGGACCACGCCAGCACATCTGTGGCCCATGCCACAACTGAGCTTCTGCAAATGTCGCAGCATCAACCTTGAACGCTGCCCGAACAACGCCTGTCATCATCAGCACACGCCCTCAAATCCGCATGTTCAATGGACCAGCCCATTCGTTTGCTTCACGATCGATGCCATTATTTCCTTCCGTGTCTGGTGGGAGCTGTTGCCGACAGCTGTTACCTAAGCCTAAATGTTTCCCTTTAACGGTCCGATACCTTTTCAGTATCTACGCCTGTTGTTTTAGCGCAATCGGAGCAAAATTGCAAACACACTCTTGCGCTTTCGATGCATATGCTTGGCAATCGGGCCCTCGAACTATTGAACGTTAGTTTTACATGCTGACTGACTTTTCTTCTGACGACCACAGTCAGCCAAATGCGCATCATTGGTGGTTTCGAGCTTGGGCCATTCATAACTTAAAAGGGTATGGTTTGGTCCTGCAGTCGCACTTGAGAGTATCATACTACCAACCTACTGAAGTATATTTGAGTAGGCGAGAGTACGACAAAATAGCGTCAATGACAGCGTTGAGACGGAGTGCACACTGACATGGCTTCCAGTGGACCATGCAGTCACTTTCCTTCCTAATCCAGCGAGTCGTTAGGCTGCGCGCGTCAACGGCTCTACTACTTTCCGATCCCACTCCAGTGAGTGCGTACGGCCTGGCTACGTCAGCGGAGGTGCTTCAGCAGGGCTCTCCGTTCGCGTTGTCCTTACGAAGAATGCTGTTGACGTATTCAACAAAATTTCACTAATAAATTACACATACCACACAATCCCTCGGGCTGCAGTGGGTCGGGCTTGCATAAGGCGCGGTATATCAGTTTACATGTGCTTCTTTTCTGCCTTTCTAACTTTTATTATCAGTATTATAGATTAGCTTGCCGGACCGTTTACTGAGACGTTTGCGGCACTGCTTGTTGACCGTCATTAACTGGATGCGATTCTGCTACGTGCCTTAGGAATTTTTCCTCCAATTTGCTTCATCTCATTCAGGAGTGTTTTCGTGCGCACAACTCGCCAAACGCTGCACTATGCCACTGCTGTGGTGTGGTTTATGCTCACGGAAGTCGCAAACCTATTGACTCTAGTTCCTTCGAGAAAGGCCAGGCGGGTTTACACTACTTTCTTTAATTTCAGCCTGCCTTTGTCAAACACCGTCAAAGTTCAACTCGGTACCTCAGTCTTCTATTAAAATAGGAGGTCTAGCGTAAAAATAGTTCTTTTATCGCAATCCAAATCGTTCATATGAATTCATTTTAAACTTTCTTGGGTTGTGGCCAATTCTGATCGTGCTGAGTCTTCCTTCTGCGCTCATTCAAGAATCTGCAAAATAGGCCCATATTCGCAACTTAGTAATATTTATTCTGTATCGAGAGCATCTAAAACCATGCCCACTTGGGTATGCTGACACACTTAAACATGTATTCATCGTATGCTGTCTTGATACTGCGTACGGTGAGGCGAATTGATTGCCCCCTGCATTTCGGTAAATTCAGCGCCCCTCCCGCCTTCTGCGTGGTTTGCTCGCTTACGGTCTGCAAGTGAAATAATTAAAAATATTTATTCATCTGAATTGTGTACAGCCGCCTTTAAAACTCCAGGACTGCGCATTCACTTATCACTCACCGTTTTGTTCAACAAATGACTTCACGGTTTCCTGGGCTACTACTTCATTGTGAGTAGCTCTCTTCTAAATTAAAAATTCCACGACACACTTGCGTTACTTCAAATATGTTACTGCTTCCCGTGGCCATTTCTTCGCATTGTTCTGCACCCCTGTTTCGATCATGCATCATTTTCTTTGAACATTTTGCAGAGCGAACTTTGCAATGCGTTCGCATTTCCCATGGGTTGGAGGCTTTCCCGTTGCATTTTTTCCTCGTTCTATACAATCCAGCGGCTCCCGCAAACTGTTCTGCACACAGCTTTCAAATTTTTGTCACGCATTCAAATTTTACTTCTGTTAAAATGCCTTCGTTTGGTCAAATAGGACTCCCTTTGCCTTCCTACATTTCCGCCTTTCCCTTGGCCTGCCCTAAGGCCTCATACATGAAACCCCTATTACCGCCATTCCCGCATTACGGGCGCCCAGGGTTCCTCCTACCGCCAGTGGAGCTGCTGGACTAAACCGGCAGAGGGTTAGACGAAAAAGACTAATATTCGGTTGGACACAAGAATATAGACACCGCCCGTATTACAAGTGGTCTCTCCCAACATTTGCTGGAGCTTAGAGTTCTAGATAGCGTTGGGGTCAGGACTAAGTTTATGGTTAGGGCTAAGACCACGACTAGGAGAAATTACACTTGCTCATTCGACGCACCCTTGTGACCTTCTTCGATAATCCCCCAAGTTTCTAAAACTTCCTGCAATTTGAAAGGTTAATTTGGCAAACACGTGTTTTTTCGTTAACTCATCATTAGGCCAAAACAGTTACATAAAAATTGAAAATATGCTAATTTCACAGGGTTTATAAACGATTCATGGGCTATTACTACTCCTCATTCACACGCCACCCGCATAGCGAAGCGTGTTACGGCGTTGTCGGCGTGTTATGATCATTGGGTCGAGGGGTTGGGAGGAGGGGGAGGGTGACATAGGCTGTGAGTGATGTTTGTAAGTCGGGTACGTTGAGCACACATCATTGCCATCAGGAGGTGGTGGCGGCATGTAATCATCATCTGGGATCGGCGTTGGCCACGGAAGACAGAACGCCTATGTCAACGTCTTCTGACAACATAGCACTAAATTGGCTGGCCGTATAGCCACTGCCTCGGCTGTAGTTAGCACTCGTTGGCGTAGGCCTTCGGAGAAGCTTGCTAGTGTCCGATAGACAACCTGAAAGGCTTCTTTGGCATCGACTGGGTGATTCGCATTGACAAGATGTGCGAGAATAGAACTCGAAGTCGATTTGTTCTCGCCTCTGCCTAGCCAGGTCGTTATGTGTTCACGTACTCTTTTTTCCACACGCTTCGTTGTACGGCCACTGTATTCCGCCCCACAATTTATAAACTGCAATTTATTCCAACTTTTAAGTCCGGACATGATGGAACTACCCATTGACGGACTGGTCTGGATCAAGATTCGTTAAGATGCGTCGGGCATGTTCCTATTTCTTATTCCGACGTGCTGACTTATCGCACCTGATGAATAGATTACACCAGTACTCTTTTTGACTGCTACTTCGAGTGCACCCCTGCAGATGTCTCAGTAGTATCCTAGATAGCCAGCTCGATAAACTTTCATCACAGCCTGCATGTGCGCTTGCTCGCCTCATCGCTCGCTCCTCTAGCAGCCCCTTCGTTATGTCTGGTACATGAAGAGGAAGAAGGGGGAGGGAGAAAACGGAGAAGAAGAAGAAGAAGAAGAAGAGGAAGAAGAAGAAGAAGAAGGAGGAGGAGGAGGAGGAGGAGGAGGAGGAGGAGGAGGAGGAGGAGAAAGAAGACGAGGACGAGGAGGAGGGCGAGAGTTGAAAGCATTTCAGCTGGAGACTGGTTCTCCACTCCTAGCGCGTGTAATACAGGTAACCATTCGACCACCATGTTCGGCTGGACGAGGCATGCGGGCATTCGGCACGGGGAAGACCAACCCCAAGCACCCTGAAAATCAGGAATTATTCATTCAGTTCAATTAGCTGACAATGACTGACTGTCAGTCAGTATCACTCAGTATATTTGGAGTAAAGGACAGAGGCCCTTAAAACTCCATTTAAACGGCACGAGTATGCATGAAAAGTAATCAAGTTGCAGAATGCGTAGCATTAATGATGAAGCGTGCATGTTAAAAGATGCGGCATTGAGAAATAACAGCGAAAAAATGTACACTGCCTTCACACTGAAATTTTCATTTGTGTCAAGGTTAATGTACACAATAGGATCCGTCAAAATCACGTCATTAGTGTGTTTCTTGTCATTGCAGCAACCTACTTGATGGGCTTTGGGGAGGTTGTATTGCCTTTTAATAGATGCTTATCCAGATGTTTCTTGAATGCACTAATGGTAGGGAAATTTACAACATACGTCAGTAAAGAATTTCAATGGCAAATGCCTCTCTGTGACAGAAAGGAGGAGTGTTGGTTAAAGTGGCACAAGTCCCTTTTCGGCTGGCAACCGTGTTGTCTGAGATAACTCTTTGGTGCTATTTCAAAAAGAGTTTCCAAGCTGAAATTCAGATAAAGTGCTCTTAGCAACCGAAACGTTGCTATAAGGTCACCTCTGTACCGCCCGTAGTGGAAGGAACATAAATTCAAGGCGGTCAGGCGTTGAATGTGCGTGAGATTTTTGGAGTTCATGAACAGCCTTTGTAGCCCGTCGCTGTACGTCTTCGCGAATATCTATATCCTTCCGAAGCAACAGCCGCCAAGCCTGTACCGCATACCCCAGCTGCGGCCGCACAAGTGCCCCATATAGCTTGCCAAAGACATCTGTATTCAAGTTAATAAACTTTCTGCGTATCGTGCTCATGACTGACATCGCCCGCTCTGCGACATCATAACACTGAGTGATGACACTTAGGCCGTCTTTAATGGATACGCAGAGATTTTCTTGCACATCTATGGTTTCAAGTGGTTGATTGTTCAGGTGATGCTGTCGTGAGAGTGCATTTGTTCTTCACCTTGCTGATACAATGTGCATTATCGCATATTTTTGACAGTGAATTTCATGCACCAGTTCTCGTTCCATGCGGACAGATTTACTACGTCCTCTTAGAGTATCTAAACGTATTTTGCATCTTTCATCACCCCCCGAATTTTAGGATCGTCTGCAAAGAGCGGTATGTTCGATTATTCTTCCCGTACTAGATCATTTCCATAGATTACGAATATGAACAACCCATGAACTTACCCTTGTGGGACTCTATCTTTACCAGGCACCCATTCTTAATAGTAACTATCCACAGTTTAAGAAATCTGGAATCCGGTTCAGGAAATTTTCTCTTATGCCTACGTCTGTCAACTGTAGAACGAGGCGACTATGTGAAACATAATCAAACGCCTTTCCGAAGTCAAAGTAAATGACATCTACCGTGTGTCCGTCATCCATGGCTTTTGACTAACATTCGAGCGACGTAAGCATATTTTTGAGGCAGGGCTCTTTCCACAGAAACCGTGTTGAACTGAGCTGATCAGGGCAGCGGAATGTATCGTGCGATGCAATTCATTTTTAAGTATCCTATCTACCAGACTACAGCAAATACATATCAGACTGACTGGTTGATAGTTGGTGGAATATGACCGTGATTCTCCCGTATGGATTGGTACGACATTTGCCAACTTCCATGTATCAGGAATTTTATCAGCTTCCACCGATTTTTGGAAGATTGCACAGATTGGTTCTGCCAATTCCTCAGCAAGTTGCCGTAGGAGTACACCTGGGATCTAATCTGGTCCAGGTGACATGGCCGAATCCAACTTATTTAACTCAGCTACAACAAGCTTGAATGTGGAGTATACTGTGTTTACAAATGGTTTGTTGACGAGCTATGGCAGAGAAAAGGATTGGAGGGATACTTCCGCGATAGACACTTTGGAAAATTTTTCAAAGAAACTCGGCTTTTTGAAAGCTATTGCTCATATTTTGGTTATATTTTTGTTTTTTAAGGCTGCGAGATGGTCATGGTTTTTTCATTGCTCCTGGTGTATGCATAGAATGCCTTAGGTTTTTCCTGCGTCTCTTTCAGGAGCTTTATCTTATAAGCTGCACGAACTTCGCGGAGGAGTCTTTTTCATAAGTTGTGTTGTTTTCTAAATTCTGTAAGTTTTTCTGGTCTTCCCGTTTGCAATATTTTCCTTCTAAAACGCTGTTGTCAACCATTTCTGTCCGTTCCCAGACAATATCGTTTAGTCGAGTTTCTCATTTTCAATTCGAAGGTCCTGCAACATTCGTTAACATATCCTCTTAGTACGTCCGTCCATAGGGTGTACTTGCTCTCCGATTTCATTGCTTAAAGTCATCCCACCAAACATTTTAAACGACTTTTGGCTTCGTTCGGAGACAGCTACTGGTGATGATTCCCATATTAATGTCATGTGATCACAAGAACCTAGGGGCGGGCTACAGTTATTTCATCATCACTTTCCTCACCCTTGATAAATAGTAGACCCAGACAATTAGATCTCTGGTCTTCACGCATTCGAGTCACAGTTCGTATACGTTGAAACACGAATTCCTAAAGTGCCATGTCCAACAGCATTCGGTCGAATCCTCGTCTGGGACTCTCAGTTTTCATAGGGTTCCATTTAATCCGCGGAGCATTGAAATCTTCCACAATAGTGATGTTTTGGTCTCGCCTGTCCTCGCGGAGTCGAGTTATTAATGCTTGATCTTCGTTGACTGCGTCGGCTATGCCACACCAAATCTAGGAGACAATAGCTGGGATATCCGTAATGACGTTTCTGCACGTAGGAATAAGCCACGAGGCATTCGAGACGATGGCAGTAAATGCCATGTCATAAAGGGCATGCCTATGTCTGCTTCCGACACTTGAAAGTACAGAATACACCATGGTATAGAAATATAACATCAATATCTCAAATCCATCTTAACATGGGACGATAAATTCACAATAATCAAGGATTTCAATGTGGGCTGAGTTTGGCCGAACGAGACCGCTAAAAAAGTCTTCCAAAATGAGAAACAAGCGCAACTACTTTTGAGCAGGAAGTCCACGCTTCTAAATTTCCACTCAGCAGTTTTTTCAGCGAAATTTTTCATCCACAGAGAGAGAGATAAATTGAGAGGTCTCAAAGCGCAACTCCTTAGAAGATCCAACCTTGGCGAGAGCAATCTCAAAATACTAGACGGAGAAATTGTACAAATCCAGAGGTCATTTCACAGGAGAAGGCCTTTAACCCTAGCAGTTTAAGCGTGATGGACAGCAGTTTGGCAGGCTTTAGCGTTCAGTCCCCCAAAGTGGACAGACGCCTGTTCATCGGGCTTATTCAGGCCAAATGGTGATTTTTGTTTACTAGTGTCAAAATTATCGTTCACAAAGTCGACGAAATCAAGGCGCTACTTTCGGAACGAAACTCCGATGTCGTTACCATGAAGGAAACGTGGCTCAAAACTGAAGTCGTGGATGTCAAGACTTCGATACGAGGATACCAGCTCTTTCTCAGAGACCGTCAAAATAGACTCGTCGATGAGATAGTTATATACGTATGACAGGAATCTCGGCACTTAAACGAACGCACACCCTCACCTCTTGAATATGAACGTCTGCATGAAAATCCAGAAGAGTTATTCACAAAACCTAGAATTCCTGACAGTTTACAGACTGCCAAGCCTTCCGAGTGCATCTGACGAGCCGCGCCTCTCTTTGGCTAAGGAAGTATCTAACCACCAAGAAGTTGTTGCTGCTGGAAGATTCGACGTACATGCGATGGACGGGGAAAATCTGGTAGTTTACGGTGCGCGAACTTCTTTCGGTTTTGAGCTAATGGACCTCACACTCGTCCTCCCTCTTATACAGAAGGAAAGGACTCTTACGCGAGTTATAGAGAACCAGGGAGGCAATTATTTATACGTAGTTTTTAAGAAAGAATTCTCTAACATTGACGAATTATGTTCCAGTGCACCTCTCGGTACGAACGACCATAATACCCTAGTTCGGGACTTCTTCCTTTGTCTCTAACGCCAGCAGAGAACGGAAGACCAACAAAATATGTGGAAGGAGGATTTAACACAATTAAGACTGAATCGATGCCCGTATGTTGGGAATGTCCGTTCGAGGGATATCTAGGGTGCGACTGAAGATCGCTTAGTATGACTTCACTAGATCTAATTCGGCGCTGTTGTCCAGTGATGATACAGGAAACGACTAGTCACCCTCCATAATTAACAGAATAATTTAACAGGCATTTAAGGAAGAAAAATAAAATGTGGAAGATATTCGGAGGAACAGGGTCAGCAGAACACCTCGAGGAATTTCGATGTCCAAGAATAGCCGTCAAAAAATGAGTCCGTTAGGACGCGAAGGACTAGGAATCCAAAATTAACTGGCAGGCTATACTTAGGTCCAAAATTTCGTTTCACTGTATAAACAGTCTCCTGAAAAAGGACCAAGTCGGGGTACTGCAGGATGTTAATGGTTTAGAAGTCATTGAAAACGGCGAGGAAGCCAAACACGTAGGCCGGTTCGTTTCCTCGGTATTCACCAGGAAAACTGAGTCTCAAAATCACAATGTCAGAAGCGCTGTCGCGAAAGCCGGTTTCTTGCTTATGCCTATAGTGTTCCCGGTATATGTCGGGAAGAGTGAGCTGTAGGATCTCATAGAAGCAACGTTTTCTAATTCCGTAAATATATTGACTAATTTCTTAAGAGAATTGGCGAACGAACTCTCCAAACCACTTCGCATACCTTCTCTTCATCATTCATACCAGGGAGACTGTCACATGAATGGAAGACAGCAAATATTTGCCCAATGTACAAGGATGGGGTCGAACAAATGTCAACACTTATCTGTCCATTATCC